TCTCCTTGCCATTCTATTTGCTTTTGCTTCATGCATTTTTAGGCTCTGTTAGGAAGCTTAAAAAGAGCTTAAGGCTCTGTTAGGAAGTGCATAAACATTTAGTACTGTTACATTATCTTGATGAATTGACTAATTTACCATTGTGAAATAACCCTCTTCTTCATGGGTGATAATACTTTTTACTCTAAAATCTTTTTCTAATATTAATATAGTCATTGTTTTAATTAATGTTCTCATAGTTTAATCTTTTAATTTGAATCTATTTGTATCTTTAAGTTGCATTTCTTATAGGTGGCATATAGTTGAACCATTTAAGAAAATCTAATTAGACATTTTTGTTTTTAATTGGAGTGTTTAGACCATTTACAGTCAATGTGATTGTCGATATGGTAAATTTATGTCCATTATTTTGCTATGTATTTTGTATTTGCCCCATCTGTTCCTTTTTTCTTTAGCTGCCTTTTGGGTTGAGTGTTCGATTTACTTTCGTATTCTTTGTTAACTTATAACTTGTTACTGTGTTATTTTAGTGTTTATTGTAGGGTTTATAGTAAGCATCTTTAACTTATCACAATCTATCTTCAAGTAGTAATATACCACATCATGTACTCTATAAGAGCCTTACATAGTATCATTTAATTCTCCTCTAGACTTTATGCTATTATTATTAAATGTTTTAATCATGCACACATTTTTTCCTTTAAAATTAAAAAAATTAACCAATAAAAATTACATAGGTATGGTGTACAATGTGATATTTAGTGCATATATTCCTAAGCCCATAATGTACTTATAATGTTATAATTTCAACTTAAACAATTACCTTTATATTTTTTAAGTAATAGGAAAAAACTTATATTTACATATAATTATCATTTCTGTTGCTCTTTATTTCCTCTGTTTGGATCCATATTTCCATCTGGTTTCTTTTTCCTTTGACTGAAGGATTTCTTTTAACATTTACTGTAATGTGGGTCTTGTAGTGATGAATTATTTTAACCTTACAGTGTTTGAAAAAGTCTTTAATTTACCTTTGGTTTGAAAGAAACTTTTGCTGGGTTATAGAATTCTAAGAGGACAACAATTTCCAGCTTTTTAAAGAGGTAGTTGTTTTATTGCTGGTATTGTTTCCAAAGATAAATATACTCTATTACTACTACTCTGTTTATTTTAGAGTAGTTATACAGATTTACAGAAAAACTTTAAAAATAGTACAGTAACTTCCCATATACCCCACAACCAGGTTCCCTTGTTAATATCTAATGTGAGTATGGTAACTTTGTTGAAATTAATGAAACCATATTGATATATTAACTAAAGCCCATATTTCTTGTACCTTTTTAGCTTTTACCTAGTGTTTTCTGTTCCAGGGTTCTATCTAGGATACTACTTTATGTTCAATTGTCACATTTACTTAGGCTCCTCTTGAATTTCTGAGATTTTGATCTTGTCAGTTTTGAGTACTTGCCAGATATTTGGTAGACTGTCCCTCAGTTGGAATTTGTATGAGAGTTTTCTCATGGTTAGACTGGGATTATGTGTTTTTGGGAGGAAGAGACCATAGAGTTAATGTGCCTTTTCATCACATCAGGTCAAGAATATATACTATCAACATGACTTCTCACTGTTCATGTTAACCTTGGTCACCTGGTTGAAGTAGCATGTGTTAGGGGTCTCTGCTATAAAGTTAGGCTCTTGTCCTTTAAAATATAGTATGCTTTTAAGAAAGTAACTATGTGTGCAGCATATGTTTAAGGACTGGGGAGTTATGTTTTATCCCCCTGAGATCAGAGTAGCTCCATAAATTGAGATTTTTCTCTGATTATTAACTATTTATACAGTTTATATGAACTATATATTTATACAGTTTATATGAACTATAATATGAACTCATGGGTATTTTATAATTTGGGTTATAAACCAATGATACCTAACTTATTTTTGCTCAAAACAACAAATTTTTTTTTTTTTTTTTTTGAGACAGAGTCTCACTCTGTTGCCCAGGCTAGAGTGAGTGCCATGGCGTCAGCCTAGCTCACAGCAACCTCAAACTCCTGGGCTCGAGCGATCCCCCTGCCTCAGCCTCCCGAGTAGCTGGGACTACAGGCATGCACCACCATGCCCGGCTAATTTTTTCTATATATATTAGTTAGCCAATTAATTTCTTTCTATTTATAGTAGAGACGGGGTCTCGCTCTTGCTCAGGCTGGTTTTGAACTCCTGACCTTGAGCGATCCTCCCGCCTCGGCCTCCCACAGTGCTAGGATTACAGGCGTGAGCCACCGTGCCCAGCCAATAACAAACTTTTATTGACAAAATACTTTAAAAATATGTGTATCAGTCCAATTAAACTTGTCAATTAGTGCTTCTTCCTTTCTTCCTCTGCTTTTTTGTATAGTTTTCTATTGCTATGTCTTCAACTTCTCTTCTGCAATATTTGATCTGCCATTAATCCCACATTATTTTACAATCTGACATTGTAGTTTTAATATGTAAACATTACATCTGTGTCCTTTTTATAGCTTTCATATCTCTAGTTACATTTTTGAACATATGGAATACTATATTTTTAATGTCCTTGTCTGTTAATCATAACATCTATGTCAGTTCTGGGTTGGTTTCTATTGATTGAATTTTCTCCTTATAAGCATATTTTTTGCTTCTTTCATGTCTGGTGATTTTTGAGTAGATTTCAGGCATTGTGAATTTTACTTTTTGGATGCTGGATATTTTTGTATTCTTACAAATATTTTTAACCTTTGTTCAGGCACATATTTGAGACGTAAATATTTTGATTCATTTGGTGTAGTGCTTTTAAGATTTGTTAAGTGGTGCAAAAATGGTATTTGGTTTAGAGCTGCTAATTTCATACTTCTGAGGTAAGACCTTTCTGGGTACTGTACCCAATGTTCTGTGAATTATGAGGTTTTCCAGTTTAGCTGTTGAAAATAAGCAATATTCTTGGCTTTATGTGCATGCTGGGAACTTTTTTCCTCATCCTTTTGGATAATTCTTTCCTTGGCCTCAGGTGCTAACTAGCATTCTGCTGCATACTCAACAGGGACTCTCTGCAGATATCTGAAGTTCTCTCCCAATGCAGCTCTGCCCTTTCTAATCTTTGGTGCTATGAATTCTAACCACCTTGGTCTTTCAGCTCAGTTTCCTAATTCAGGGATGCCTTTGGAGCCTCCCTCCTACACATGGCCTGAAAACCCTCTCAAGGCATTATACCAGGGCAATGGTAGGGTTCACCTCATTTGTTTGCCATCTTTCGAGGATCATTGTCCTTCACTAGGTGATGTGAAGTTTCTTGGAAAATTTTGTTGCATGTTTTTGTCTTGGGTTGTTTCAGGCAGGAGGGTAAATCTGGTCCTTATTACTATTAATATATCTTGGATAGAAGTTGAGCATCATCTTTTAAATGTTGGCACATGATACAAAATTTTAACAGATATATTGCAGGCAAACAAAAAACATCTGGGGTTGCACTTAGCCCTTAGGTCATCAGTTTATGATCTCGGAGGTAGTAGATCACATGGACAGGCAGAAATGGCACTTTTTATATAATGTAGTAAGAGCCACGATAAAAGTTGCAATGGGAGCTGAAAAGTGAGGCTCTAAACCCATGCTGGGGTATTGAATTATGCCTTTTTTGGACACTCAAGCCTTGAGTGTCCTTGAGCCTTGAAAACTCAGAAGATATTAATAAAGGCAGGATGGTCGGAGAAGATGATAGTTCAGGTCAGAGGTTCACCATGAGTGAAAACACATTAGTGTTGGGTCCTATGGCACAAGGTGGGAGCTACAAGCAGTTTGATTCTTACCAAAGTGTAATAGGCAAGGTAGAAATGATGGAGTCTGGAGGAATAGGCAGCCAACTCATGAAAATCTTCATATCAGGCTAAAACATTTAGCCTTTGTCTTGTAAGCCATGGAGAACCTCTGAAGGTTCCCCTTTAAAGTTAGGGAAGTATTATCAGAAAGATCTTTCTGGTGGCAGTATGTGGAAGATAAGTAAATACTCTAGGAAAACAAGAGGTTGTTATGCTAGCCCAGGGAAGGGATGGTTGGACCTTAGCTATGATGTGGGGTTAGGGATGGACATGTGAGGGGAGATAGGAGATATTACTCAGAATGTAAAATGTCAGGATGTCTTAACTTTGTGTGAGAAAGTAAGGGAGAGGGTGTGGACATAAAATAAGCCCCAGACCTCTGGCTAGAATTGCAACATGAAAAATGCTGGAATGGACTGTTAGGAGCTGTGGTGGGGCAGGGAAAGTTCAGGAAATGCTGAGCTGGAGGTGGCTATGAGAAGAGGCTGTCTCTGAATCTCATTCTCTCATACATGCCTTCTGAAGGTCCAGCCTGCTCTAGTGGTGGGACAAAAATCATGTGAAGATTTCCTACCTGGTTCAGGAGACTGTCTCAAAATCAGACTCCCATTCACAAACCTCTGATTACAGGTTCTTTTATCAACAGTCTCTGATACTTCAGGGGAAGCAGTTTAGAGCTGCCTTATTAGGTTGCACAGATTGTCTATGGCTCTACTCAAGAGCCCCCATTCATATCGTAATACAATGAATTATGCCTCCTGGAATTGGACAGCACATGCCCTAATCAGCTGTATGTGGTGGTGCATTGTGGTGTTCTAGAAAGAGGTTGATCGTGACTCCAACAGGACAGGACCACTTACACATTGGGTGGTCTAAGTCAAGTCACCTAACTTTCAGGACCTTCAGTTTCCTTATTTGAACTGTGAGCGTGATACTTATAGAGCTGGCTCTGAGGATTAAATGTGTTAGAATTTTTAAAAGTATTATTCATATTTTACCCCATATTTTAAATCTCTTTGCTAATATTGAGAAAATTAGATCATAGGCTTTGGATGTGACATATTTGCTCTATGGCCAAAGTAAAGTAGAAGAAAGACCAAATCCAGATTTGGAACTTGAGGACTGACAGGTGAAACCAGATCTTACTTCTTCCTGCTGTTGTCATACCTTTCCCCAGCTGCCTGTTCCTTATCTTCACAAAGCTTCCTAGGGGGCTTGGGCTGGGTATAGAAAGGAGAGATGAAGGATCAGGCTGTGGTTATCAACCTTGGATGCACATTAGCATCACATGGGGAGGTTTAAAAATATTGATGTCTAAAAGCTGCCCCAAGTGATTGTGGTGGCCTGTGGTACAATTGGCCTGGGGTATGACCTGAGCTTTTGAATTTTCTAATGCTCCCTTGATTCTAATACACATCCAGGGTTGATGAACCCCTGCCCTTAGCCTTTGCATTCTACTGATTTAATGGAAGCAAGAATTAAAGTTGGAGTAAGAGTTTTCTTTTTGTTTTGAGATTAGTGTTTGCTCTTTGGGGAGGCTGAGCTGGAACATAACATGGGTATAAAGATTTGGAGGGACCTGGGGAAATAAGCTTTTTAATCTGAGCTTTTAGTTTTTACAGTCTGTATGAGAAAAATGTTGAAACATATTTATGAAATAAACACATGAATAAAAAACTCTTTTCAAGATGAAAATTGGCAGCTAATGTCTCCTTTTCTGCTGTAACAGTGACTAAACGCATTACTATACTGAAAATCATTGGGTTCAGGAGGGGGCAAGAGGTCAGTATGTGGATTAAATAGCATTGTTATATTTTGCAAATAAAGACACAACACATTTGAACTTAAAGAAACAGTTTTAGTATATTTCTGTCCCATGCATAATGTGGAAAAAACATATACTAAATTATTTGAAATTCAAATGTAACTGGATGTCTTTTTTTTTTCCTGGCAACCCCAGGGTAAAATTACTCAGTGAAGCTGGGAGAAGAACCCTGGAGCAAGTCAGAGTGAGCTGCTCTAGGAATCAAAAGTCATGTTTTGACTATAATCATAAATGGGTTGCCATTGGCTTAGGTTCTTGGGATTAGTCTGGCTTTGAAAGAAAGAACTGAAAACTAAGTAGCCCACAAAGCTGTTTTAATAATATGCTGTCTTACACTGATATAACACATGCTTTTCTAAAGTGCTTTCACAATGCATTCTCTCACTTTATCCTCCAAACCACTAGAAGTTTAACTCATATTAGCTGCAGTTTGATGTGGAAATACAAACCAAGGGCTAGAGAAAGAGACTGCTCTGAAGTCTTCAATTAAATCAAGACCTAGGATCTATTTTTTCCCCCTACTTCTCCATAGTCATCTCTAGATGTGGACTTAACCTTTTAAAACGTGCCTAGGTGTTCAGACTGTGTGTGCGTGTGTGTACCATCAATAGTGGAACAAGTAGTCATGAATGTGTTAACTGTCCTAGTAAGGGAGTAAGAGGTTAATCTACTTAATATGTGCCTAAACCTGTGAGTTCAACCCAGGCCCTTCACCCCATTCCCCCTTCACAGCTGAAGTAGAACAGAAATCGCCTTGGGCACCACAGCCCAAGCTGGAGGCAGGTTCATTGGTCATGCTAACGTCACTTCCTTTCTTCTGTTACTGCCTCTTTGCCTCTTAGCTTTTGATTTTATCTCCCACATCTGACTCCACAAAGATAGATTTTGAGTTCTCAGGTTTCATTGTGGTCCTTCTCTGGAAGCAACTTGATGTATTCTTCCCCTCCAGTTCTTCCTGTTCTTGCCATCCCTACTGAACTCCAGCCCCTGGGTCTCCAGCCTGCTCCCTAACGACACCACATTATTCTAAAGCTATCCTAAAACTTCCAAAAATTTTAGAAGAAAATGTACTGTTTAATGTCAATTGTTTAAATTGACAATTTAATGTCAATTTAAATTGTTTAAATGTCAATTAACTTAGTTGGGTAGGGCATTGAAGACTGAGATGATGAATTAGAGTCAGGACAAAACTCAGTGCCCCTGGGCTTTATGATAATCTGTTACAATATACTTTTTTTCATTTGCCGAAATTTTCATTTCACTCTGAGGCTGAGGAGTTTTAGAATAATGTGTGGCATGGTTAGATGGGTTGGAAATACCCTGGCTAAAAGACTAGCTCTCTCTCCCAGTTAAGACAGGGCTAATCCAGCACAGGGTAGAGTCCAAACTACTTAGCTTGTCATTGAAGGTCCCTGCTGGTCCCTGCCTGCTTTTCTACCTTTATTCTCATGCGTGTCATCTGCTTACTCCTGCCCACTGAACACTCATATATTACCTTCTCTGAGTTCATTCCTGTTTCTGGAATGGGCTCCTCCTCATGCTATCGATACCCTAAAACCTCCCCCCTACTTTTTTTTTTGTTTACCTAGGGAGAATGATAGGGCTTCTCCCCTTCCCTGCATTACACACTTCCTGGCTGAGCAGAGAGATGGAGGCTGCAGGTGGCTGAGAGGAGCCCCAGTGGTCTCAGGCTTAGCTCCTGAGGCTGAAAAGGGAGGATTCTGCCTCTCCCCTGAAAGGCTGGCTCAACCCAGCTCCACTTCTATGGCTCGGGGTATTGGGTGGGTCTCTTGTCTGCTTCTGGGCTTTAGGCAGCATCTTGAGAACTCCATGGCTGAGAGAGGAAACAGGTGGACACCACATGAACTGGAGGAAGCTCAGGGTCACCAACCCACCCTGGAGCCAGGAGGCAATTGCTCCCTTAGGAGAATGGTGTATTAATCATCAGACCACTGAGATGTCAGGCAGCAGAGTGGAAAGTTGGAGTCAGGGCGTGCTAGGTTTGCTATGAGGAACCGATTTAGCACTGGTTTGAGTCACTTTTCAGCACTACGTCTCAGCAATGAGTTGGATATTGGAAAGAATTGAATGTGCTAATTTATGGCAGGTGAATTACAGTGTACTCTTTGCTTCTGAGGAGTTTTCCTGGAGTCATGGAACTTTATAGCTGGAAGAGACTGGTCCAGTGCCTGATGGTAGATTTGCTCTGTAATGTTTATTCAGTATACTAAACTTTAATGGAGATAGGAAGTGACTTGCCCAAGTTTGTACACTGTGTGAGGGCTGGGAGGTCCAGGTCCCAGGTACAGATACTCTTCTCTATGGGGGGGCCCACTGAATTCTGTGCTCCTGGAAACTCCTGTCAAAAATATGACCAAAGTGAGCTGAGTGGTAGGGCAAATGTGACTAATGTCACACATCACATTATTTTCCTCTTGTTAATTTTAGAAATCATTTATCTTCTATATTGTCTTTAGAATTGATGAACATTTAGATTTCTAAGTCTTCTCCCTTAGCTGCTGTGCCAGGCTTTTTCTTTTATTTTTCTTTTGCATTTAATACTCTATAAACATTAAGTGGCCTAGATGGTCTATATGTTTGGTGGGGGAAATGGTGATTTTATGGAAAGAGAAATGGATGAGGAATTAGGCAGTCCTGAGGTTCAAATTTTGTATCCACTACAGATTAGCTGTGTAATTTGGGGCTGGTTACTTTGTTTCTCAGAATTTGTTTTTATATCTGTGAAATGGGCAATAGGAAGGGACCCCCTCAATGGGTTATTCTGAGGATTAAATGAAATCATACATGCTCAACATAGCATCTAACATATAGTAAACCCTCAATAAAGGTTATTGGTACAATATTTAAATCTTAAATTGAGTACTTAGCATTAATTTTCTTTGCCTTTTCAGGATGTTAAGTTTTCAGTATAGAACCCTCACTTTTTTTTTTAAAGCCATTGCTTTGTAAAGTTGAGTGTTCTTCTATTGGCTCATATAAGTGGAAATACACATCTGTATTTTAAATTAGATCACCTGGTGTTTATAGCATCTCTAGGGTATACAAAGGACTTTTACATAAATTTTGTTTGGATTTTTATAAGCTCATTAATTTCCACAACATTCTTATGGGACAGGAATTAGACATACTGTTAATGAATTAATGAAAGTACAGAGAGGTTTAGGCACTTGTCCAATATCACAGAGAAAAATCAGTGGCAGCCAGGAGCAGTATTGGTATCTCTAGGCTGCAGACCTGGCGCTGGCTTTGCTCTCTGCTGACTTACATGCTTGGGGTTTGCAGGTGTATCTTTCTCCTCCAGTTGAGTTTTGTGTATCTTGTGTCCTTGGCAGTTGTGGAAAGGTCATGGGGTGCACTTACAGACTATCAAATATTGGCCACCCTTCCCCATGCCGGCCTCAATTGCACAAGCAGGGAGGGACAACTGGAGCTCACACTAAGGAAAGGCGGAGTCCATAGTATCCTTTAGTTTATATTCTACAACCAAAGGCATTTTGGGCATTGGTGAGGTGGTGGTGGAGGATATTTTGGGGACCAGCAGTGACACTCTCAGTACAATCACATTGTAAAAGTGGGAACCTTTCTGCTTCTGGGTGAGGGGTGTACTGGTTGAAACTATGGGGTCAGATTCTGGACTCTGATTGCCTTGCTCTTATGGTGGGCATGAGCCCCCCTTTGGCAGAATACCTCTGCTCTTCAATGGCCGCCTCGGGTTCACTCCAGAATGACAGGGTGGCCGCATTGTCTCCCTGTTAGCTGTGGGCATCTGAAACCCTGGGTGGACTCCCAGCCTCTTCATCTTCCATGTTCTCTGACAAGCTTTATTGTCTTTCCCTGCCTTAATGGATATTTAGACTTGGGACCAGCTTTGACTCTATTTTAGCTACTTTAACTAAATTTCAATTCCCTTCTTTTTCTTTCCTGGAAGCCTAACTTTGCACCATCTCTGGCTTCTAACACCTGTCTTGATGGTAACTGTTTAGTTTTGTCCCTTCTTGCTATAAGATGAGGAGGAAGGTAGCACAGGTGGATAATTCAGGTTTCCTATATAAGGTAGGAATTGAGCTGGCCTTTGAAGTTTGAGCAATATCCCAACAAGTGGAGAGAGTTGGGGAGGGGGCCTCAGGCAGCAAGAACAGAAAAGAGATGGCACAGCCTGGTGTCACGGAACAGACTTGGTTCTTGGAGTTGGACAGAACTGGATTCAAGGTGTGAGTAGGCTCTGGTTCTTACAAGACATAAGATCTTGTGCAGGTTCCATAACTTCTCTGGTCCTTGACTTCCTTACTTGTAAAATGGGGACAACGCAATGTGTCAGAGTTGTTGGAACTATTAAATAGTGCATGGGAAAGCAGCTAGCACAGAACCTCTGGTAAGCCTTCACTTAAATTTTGATTTTTGTCATTTCATGCTATCTGTGCTGCTGGTTTACTTACAGAGAAAGAGCCAGAGAGTGGGAAAAAACTCGTTTCTGCTCTAACCTCTTGCCTGGTCAATTGTTCATTGCTGAGCAGTAGGAACACTCCCTCCGTACCTGGTCCTCCAGGGCCTGGCCTTGAGCACCCCAACTAACAAAGCTTGCATACAGGACTGATGCTGACTTATCTTGCCTTTGTTAAAACTCAGCCTGGGAGTGTAAAGTGATGTCAGCTCTTGTGTCCCTTATCCTCCTGTATGTGGTTGTGAATTCCAACTGTGGCTTTGTGATCTCACATAAGACACTGTTATGGAAACCCCTGTATTATGAGTTCAGGGAGACCCTGATGTTGGAGTGTCTTGGACTCATTTGCCCTTGTGAATCGAATGTGCTTGTGTAAATATGCCTTGTCCCAGCTCAAGAACCCAGGGGCCTTGTCTTATTCTGAGAGCCGCCTTCAGAAGACTTTAGCACCCTCACCATGTCCATCTTGCTGCTAACTGGCTCTGTCTAAATTCACCAATCATCTGCTCTGCCTCGGGGTTTTTGATCTTTGCTCCAATATTTCCATCTCTGGACTTAGATCTCTGCTAACAAGATGTATTTGTTGTCCCTGGTCTTTCATTCTCACCTTGGTTCCTTATGTTTGATCTAGAAGCCTCACCAGGCACCCTATTTTCTCTTTAGTGATGGAGACTGCAATAATCACAGCTCAGGCAGTAACACTTGGGTTTCTGGCACTAGATGTCCAGAATTCTTTAATTCTAACTTTCAGTTGAATCTGTGGATCCAGACTCTTTATAGGTGAAACTCACCAACCATACCCATCCAGCCAGCCAGAAGTGCCTTGCTGCAGTTGCTTGTAGACTCCAAATTCAAACTCCAGCAGAGATTCTGATTTTGCAGGTTGGTTAGGGAAGGGGCTTGGGTGTGTTGGAGAACTACAGGGAAGTGGAGAATAGAACTGTGCCTCGAATCCCAGGTGCTTCTGATGCAGGGAGGTCGCGACTCAGACACTCTGAGCAACACTGACCGATACTGAGGTTTCTGCAAGTCCCACTTTCATATAAAGGGAAATGTCCTGTTGGCCAATAGGGATTTAAAGTCACAAGGTTTAAGACAAGGTAAGAATGACTTGCTTTAAATTAGAGCTTCTTTGGAGATAGAGGACAATTTAATTTCCTAAGGAGGGTAAACATTCTTTCCCTAAGTATTTTGCTTGATTAGCTGTTTCTACAGAGGGAACTCCCAGGTGAATTTCAGGCCATGCTTTGTTCAAATTAAATTAAATTTTGAATGTGTTCAAGTCTGTGTTTAGGACCTGTGCCTGGGATTACAGAGTATAGAGTGTATCCTTATCAGGCTCCCTTGTCACCGTCCCCCTCCAATCCTTGCCCTTAAGTTGCTCCACACTCCAGCTGGCTCCCACTAACTGTTAGTAATGTCTTTGCAATAAGTACTTCATGGGCGATCTTTTTTCTGAGCTATATTTTTAGTGGAAGAGATGAAAGGAGACTGGAGAATTAAAATCTAGATAAGCAGTCTCTCCACTGGAATGTTACTAAGAGGATGTGGTCATTTAAAAGTACTTTCTCCTCTTCTCTTCAGTGTTTGACATCTGAAGTCATAGAAGATGCTATCACACCTTGCTTTATTAACATGGCTAGAATCACTTATTTCAAAAAGCCCAGGAACATTAACCTTAAATGAAAAGAGAGTGGCACGAAAGGAAAGATAAAGGGAAACTGGCTTTTGGCAGCTGGAGATGCCAGCTCTCAGCCAGGCCCCTGCAGGTTCTGTTAAGTGGCCCCATGAATTTATTTTACAGGGAGATCATTTCCACTATCTCAGCATACTGAGAGCTGTCATTGTTCGGACAAGATTCAGAAATCTAGTTAAGTTATATAATGTGCTGCTCTTCCAGGAGAACATGAGAAGGAGGGGGGTAGTAAGTTAGTGAAGAAAGTAGATCCTGGAGATATCAGAATTGGCTTTTTGGGGAGCTCAGCAGGACTTGCCAAGAGGGGTCAAGAGAAATTGGACCGTGGATTATGCACACTCTGGCCACAGCCATTGAGCCTGAGGCTAAGGGCATGGCTGGCAGGGCAGAGCTCTTGCAGGAATGGTGAACGCTGCATTCACCATTCTCTGGTTTTCAGCTGCCTCCGGGTCAAAAGGTGTATGTATTCAATACGCCTCACAGAAGCGCTTGTAGAAGTTATTGGGTGACTCTTCTGGCTTCTGGGTAATTAGGGCAACTTTGTTCATGTTGGTCAGCTTTTTGGCCCCTTCCCCGCACTCCTTGGAGAAGAGCCTCTCGGTACCGCTCAAATGCTGCTTGTCCTTCTGCTGCATTGAAATCCCACCTTGGGTTGGTCTCAGGTGCCACTCATGAGCCCATTGTTCCACATCCAGGGTGCCTGCAGGCGCCCATTCCTGAAGCCACTTCCGAGTTCCAGTCATGATCCGACACCGTTCTTTGGTACTGAAGAGGGTCAGCAGGAGTTGCCGGCAATCTTCCCACGTGGGGCTGTGAATCTGGAAGATAGACTCCAGGAGATCAATGAGGGCCTGTGGTTTCTCTGAGTAGGACAGCATATGGTGTTTCCAATTCAACAGATCAATGGTGGAGAAAGGCTGATAATACAGAGCAGATTGGCCTGGCTGGATGGTTCTGTCACCTGTGGTGGACCTCGAATTTCACACAGAGGCATCTGGAAGGCCAGGGTAAGAGGTTGGGCAGACTGCAACTGACGAACGAGTGGTGGAGATGCCAGAGGAGGAGAAACTGATGGTGGTGGGGTTTCAGGTGCAATCAGGGGTGGCCGGGAGGGTGATGTGACTTGTGGGTTGTAAGGTGGAGGTAGGTCCTCCATCAGGTCTCCCTGATGTATTGGCTTTGTCTTGAGATCACGGACCCTCTCAGCCACTAGAACCCTACTCTGTCCCTCATCAGTGCAGAGCCAAACCCAACAGGGTGTAGTTTGAGCAATCTCCAGCCATGTATCTATATAGAGGAATTGATCTGGGTAACCCAGAATCCCAGTCACCACTCTCCACACTGAACATATAGTGGGCAGGTCAAGGGATCCCCCCCCCCACAGGCCAGCCTACTCCAAAGATCGGCCATTCCAGCCCACAGAGAGTTCTTAATCTGTCGGGTGTCATCGTGACCCCATATCTGTCCTTAAAGCCCGTTTTAAAATGTGTCAGCATGCACCCCAAAATCATTGGCTTGGATTCAGACCCTCCCATGTTTTCCCATTCCCTACACCACTGACAAAAACCTTGTCCCTGACCAGACTCTGGTCCCTGCTCCAGCTCCTCCCCTTAGCAAATCATCATTGTGATGTCGCCACAGAACCCCAGGTTAGCACCCACTCAAACCCTGTAGCTGTGGGGCTACAGACGCAATGACCGCAAACAGTCAATGTGTTCCTTCCACTCACACATTCCTTCCCCTGGGGGATCCCTGTTCTTAGGAGCTGATCAGGCTCCTCTTCCATCCCACTGACGGGCCTACACTCCAGGAGCTGATTGGGCTCCTCTTTTGTCCCACTGACGGGCCTACCTCGGGCGGGTCTCGGGGACCCTACCTTGTCCAGCGTCCTGGCCTTGGTCTGCCACTCCAGCTCACTCAGCCCGGCACCCACCCTGCTGGTGCACTGTGGAGGCCAGCACCTGCCAGGTGCAACGTGGCCTGTGTCAGCAAGGCCTTGGCAAGCTTGGCATTGCCCTTGGCCAACAGCTCTGCTTCTCTCTTCTTGGCGCTGGAGGAGAGAGATGCCGCTCAGTACTCGCTAGTCTCAGCCCACCGTCCGCTGTCTAGGTGGCTTCAAGGGGCCAGTTCGGTTGGCTTTCCTGGTCAGGGAACCAAAATGTTGTGGCAAGTGTACAGCTAGTGTTACGGCTCTTGACTGGGGAAAGAACCGAGTAGCACACAGAGAGTCGGAGAACAGTCTTTATTCAGCCAGCAGGCTCAACCCAACAAGTGTTGCAGCTCTCTTCCTGTCTTCTGACCCTGCCTTCCTTGTTCTCCCGCTTTTATACCCTTGGTAGGGCTCAAAAAGCATCCAATCAGCAACAAGCTTTAACATCTAATCAGCAAAAAGCTTTAACATCCAATCAGCAACAGCGGGATTCAAAAATTACCCAATCAGGATCACGTGAGCAGCGCCTCTGGAAGCAGGCGGTGGCACGTGTCCCGGCGCCATTCCAGCACTCAGGGCCCGGTGGGTCTACCATGGGGCCCGGCAGCAGCCAACTGGCCCTGCGCAGCGCCAGCTGGCGAGGATGCTGAGTGACCGGGAGGTGGCAAGCGGCCGTGTCACAGCACCCATCGTTTTCTGCATCACTAGAGCCAAAGAAAGTGCAGGGTGGGGGCAGAGACACAGGTGTGCATCACTTTTGCCATCCGGGAAGCCAGCTCAAAGCCTGTATTGTCATGACAGCTTCATCATTGCATAGAAGGAATGGCAAATTTGTATCCTGGCAGGAGGGGCTTTCCATTCACTAAAAGTATGAGAAAAGATTATAAACCATTATTTTGTAGGGGTGAAGGTGGGCATTAGTCCCGGACTGGGATTGGTGTGGAGGCTGGCACTTAGGAGGAGCTAGATCATGGTGTTGCGCATTGTATAAATTGCCTTGACCTTGAGTTGTGTAATTTAGCAGTTTTCTTGGAACAGGCACATAAATCTAAATACTAAAATCATTGGATGTGTATATGAATAGCTGGTAACACAGCAAAGGAATTTGCTACTTTAATGAGGCCTTTTGTATAAATGTATATGGTGAGAACATGGTATAAATATTTTGGATCATTTAAGGTCAAACTAGAATAATTTAATAGTAGTGACTGATTTTGATTGTTTAAAATTTTACTTCTGTCCTATTACAAAAATATTTTATCTTGTAAAAATTGTGGAAAAAAATTCCACTCAAACTCAAACTCAAAATAAGTAACTCTATGAAACAAAGATAATCACTACCCACATTTTATTAATAGAACTTTCTAGTCTTTTTTATATGTATACCTATACATATTTTTACAAAAGAGATCTTATCACACATTTTGCTAAGTTCTTTTTTCACTTACATGTATATGTCTATGAATGTTTTGTATCCTTTTAATTTTTTAATGTTATTTTTTTATTTCAAGAAAATATGAGAGTACAAACATTTTGGTTGCATTTTATATCTTTGCCTCCCTAGCAAGGGTTA